TTGCGGACAAATAGAACAATCGAAGTTCCTCATCACATCCCCACACGTGTTATAAATGACGAAAAAGACTAAAGGGAATCTCTTGTTTTTCTGTTCACAACTAACAGTTGTCGTGCAAAACGTCTCCTTCAATTTAACAAGATGTAAATTTACCTGCGAGTAATGTTCTCTCCGTTACATCGTCAAAAATTTTGAAAGCAAAACTAAATTGACGGAGAAACTCCTTTCAGACTCAATAGAGCTTTTGAAAAGATCCGAAAACAAGGCTTCAATGTGTAACGTGAGCTACGATACGAATCTTTATCTTAGCATTTTTATATTATCCCATAATTCGCGCAACGGGATGAATGCAGATGGATCTTTCACACACACGAAGAACGATTCCAACCAAGTAGGTAGGATTCATTGGTAAGCATGGGAAAAACTGATTATCATACCGTGGAATGAAGACTAATCCGCTTTAAATTAATTGCACTAATCCGTTTTAAATTTTTCACTAAAAAAGCAAATTTTCCAACAACAGCAGCTTTATTGGGTTGTCCAGAATCCACCGAAAAAATATATAGGGAAACCGGAGATAAATAATAAAGTTAAACAGAAAGCAGCGGGTGTCGGCCCTACAAAAACTAATTTGAAGAACGGGTAGAAGGCTCTAGTGTACAAAAGTACAATTCTGCATGGTGTTGGTATGGGACGGCAAAACAATACAAGCCACACTTGGAAGAAAGAAAAACAAGCTCTGAAAATGCTCTTACCTTGACTGCCTCCATTTCATTGCAGACAGCTTCTTCTGTTCCTAAGGGATAGGTGATTTGGTGGCTGCCGAGAGCTGTCCGTATAAGTAAGAGCGAATTCAGCGCTTCACGCCGGAGCGCTTATGTGCCATAAATCTTGCATGTGCTTGTAGGCACCCATTTTCTGAATATGTCATAATCATTATCAAGACTTCTCTTGTAGCAAAACTCACTGCAGAGAGGAGGAAGGGGAAGGAGAAAAGATTGGAAAATGAGTAGCTAATTCCTTCAGCTACTCAAAGTCGATGGGGATGAGGCAAAAGCCGTGAAAGGTTCACGATTAAATTGGGAATGAAACTTGACTCTGACTGTAAAGGTTTCAAGCGGCCATATTCAACATAAGGGCACTCAGCAGAAAAATCCATCGAAAAAAATTAAGGGAGGAGAAAAACTATGTTTTATCCGTCCTCATAACGACCAATACATTTAACCCTGACCCCATGGGAATTTTCCGTATGGTCACGATGAGATTAGAAAAGAAATTTACTGTGCGGCAGCCCCACAACTCGACTCCAATTCCGTTCAAATCACAAAAAATGTGGAAATGACAAACTTGGAGGACGTGCTCGAGGACTGAGCAAATCAAGATCACGTAGATTTTTCGAAGCTGTAGTGAAGAGGTGGATCTGTGAAGCAACCCAAAAACCAAATACATAAAAAAGTAATTTAGGGAATGTAAAGTGATGTGAGAACTGCAGCGCGACTACTGTGGCCTTAATTGCGCACAGGTCCCGCCATCGCGCCTTCAAATGCCAGTCGTAGGATTGGAGCGCGCCAGACGGTGTCCGCCGATGAGTGGGTTCCTGTCATTCTTTTTTGTAACCCCCTTGGAACGTGAAGCTTAACTGCCCAGAACGCTAGGGTGAACGAGCATGTCAATAGGTATCTACAGGCTCTCAGATTTCATAGGGAATCCTGCTATAAGCTGCCCTTCAGAAACCTGGAAGTTGTATCAGCAGCATGCAGTCAGCGTTATCTCCTCGTGTTGGGCAGCACGGCGCACTTTTCGGTAAACAGAAGCGGAATCCAGGCTCAGTCACCATTACGAAAAAGGAGTTTCGCCGAGGAATCGAGCCAGTTGATGAAGCTCTTTGAGACATCTTCTGATCTGGGCCTTCGAGGAAAAAAGTTCGCTCGAAACGTCGAACGAACAGTCCGACGACTTCCAGCTTACGGATGAGACTTCTTAACAGTTTCTTAAGATCCGTCATCGACCACCATTGTGGCCATATTTCAGAGGCCTCGAAACGCTGAGTAAAGCTGTTATTCAGGTTCGAATGTAGCTGCACACAGTGGGATGGATCTTGAGAAGTAGAAAAAACCGAGCTCCTCGATCTTAAACAACGAATAGTTGACTAGCCGTTCAGTGGAGCGAAGTTTAATCGGGAAAACAGTGTTCTGCTGAAAATCTCGATAAATCGCTGTTCCTCGGAACCGCAAGAAAACTCTCACTTCTGTAGCACCTCTAGTTTTGGCTATGATTTTCCGATATTTTGGCGGGAGGCCCCTGAGCGAGACCGAAGTCCATCACAGAGAACGACCACTAGCCGCCTGGCTCTAGGAACCCACATGTCCAGCTATGAGAGTGATCGATTCCTGTTGGGTTTATGAATGGGCATCGGAACTGGTGGTCGTTCGATACCGTGAACTTTGGTCTGGCGGAAGACCCACAGCCAGGCCAAAGTTCAGAGCATCGAACGACCCCCAGCCGCAGTGTGCCTTCATGTCTTAGCGAGAAGCTCGAAGGGATTACTTACCAAGTGTCATAGGAGGGTTAACTATTCGATTAGGAAGGCGAATGACCTTCTTTGAGGGAAAGCTCTCGAAATGGATAGTCTTCCCTCGGAGATCGACCCAAAGACGATGAATATGAGCCTGGATTAGTTCGACGTTACGGATCTTCAATCAAAACCGCAAGGCCAAAGGTACTCGAAAAGCTGGACCTGCTAAGGCAAAGTTACAAAGGTAAACTAAGGTTATTCATTTTTCCAAAAGCATTTGAAGTATAAATCAATAAAACAGCATCTCGATAACATACACAACTCCTGGTTCCAAATATTATAATATCGGCCTACGAAAGACGAGCACATATGGGAAAGAGGTATTTGGGGGTTTCGATTGGAATAAATTCAATGTCACAAAAATAGCATCAGCAAAAACCCTCCTTCCCTCGCCGTCTCTGTCGCCAGCTGGATGTACTCATTTTCAAGGATTGAAATTCCCTTCAACCCTGGGATTGGTCTCATCCTAGGGCTTCTGTTCAAGACCATGCTGACAAAACAAAGGGGATATATGAGAAACTATTAAAAGGGACTGTTCCAGAAAGAGAAGCTGATCGTCGAACTGGTAGTGAAGAGCAAACGGAAAAAATTCCCATCTAATTTTTTTACATCAAAACAACTCCGTACAAGGGAGCAGTATGGGCTTGAAATGAGAATTTACTCGTTGGTAGCGATTTTGCTCCACACAAGTTGAATGATTATCACGTAAACGCAAAATGAGAATGTGATGGGCACAGGTAGCAGACGAGGATAGCTTATTAGGGTAAGTTAGAGTAATATAGTGATCAGAAAAGGTAAAAAGCACACGGGCCACATCCCACAAAAATCAATGTGTGATGGGCGGTTCACGGTCACGGGCGGTTTGTGGCTATCGACCCTCGGGTAGATGAGGTCAAAGTCATAACGGTAGCACTTTTCCTGGTTGATATCGAAGCCATTTCGTTGGGATATACTCTGGGCTACGAACATCTTGTCAGAAACGAAATGAAATAAGCACCTACATCATAAGAACATCAGAAGATGACCGAGGGAAACAAGGCGGGCGGATATCGGTCCGGGATTCTAATCCGAGACCATGCGTGTGTAATGGAGCCCTTTTGCCATTACTACCTCTGCCCAACTGGTTGCTAACTTTCCGAAGTCCAACTAGAGGTGATCGCCGGATGTAGCCCGGCCCGTATGACAATTTTTCAACAAAAGCCGTTAAGACAAGTACGGTATGATATGCATATGAAAGCACACGGGAACTTTACATTCTTTGCAACTTTTCTTCCCTATGATTTGTCTTCATCTTTTACTAATTTATTTCGAGTATGAGCCAGGAACGTTGGGTACGGTTCCTTCCTGAAGAACTCTTATCCACTTCTTTGAATGAAAGCAGGATTTCTACCATATACATGGTGGGCCTCTAAAAAGGAACATCTTAAAAATCAAGCAGAAGTTCAGTTCTTTTGTGTATGAAGGAACCCATGAACGCTGGATAATTTTTACGGTATGATTTTGAAAATTAATTTATGACTAAACTACTTCCATCAGCGAACTTCGAACGTTAGGATATCGAATGATTGCACGTTGCTTGGAGATGGTAGCCGGCATAGCTACGCGAGTGAGAGACCAATATCGACTCTTTCGATATAGTAAACTTTTAGTCTGTGACCATGTAAGAACCCAAACTTGAGTGGACATATGTACTAAACTGACTTGAGAAAACCTTTCAGTGCAAGTGCGGACACCATCGTGGTTTCACTTCGGCCATTATGGAACTGATTCAAGAGTGGAAGGGAACGAATCTCCGGTGGGGAATCTCCTAGGACGATAGCACATAGTCCCCAGTTCTTCAAAGACGGCAGCTTCAAATCACCTTATGACTCTCCGGTAGAATGCATATACTACACAGGTATCCTACAAGTCACTTCTAACTCGTTTACCATTCGTTAAAAACAATTTCGATATAAATATGACTTTATTCTTTAAACTTACAATCTATACATAAAATCTGCGAGAAACTGAAACGCTCCTCATCACAGACAACAGAAAATGCGATTTGAGAAAAAAGGACAAAAAAGTAGTCATGTCATCTCTCTATAGTCTCTTTCTATATGACATCTTTTGCGGATAAAACTGAACCTTACAAATACATAATACAATTACTACACCGTTACAATGTTATAGCTGTTACTGTGTCGATGTTACTATGATGTTTGTAAGTTAGCTAAAGTGTTACTAAGGGTAAATTATTGTAAAAAGCGATTAGAGCATCAGTACAGAACAGCGCAGATTTTCATAAAAAAATATGTGGCACTGGTAGTTATGAAGGTAGAAGGCATTGAAATGAATTGTTAGGCACGTTATGGCAAAGAGGTTAAACTAGACAACAATTGCACTATGGACAACTGATGACTTCTCTAAGTGTATCGCCTACAGCTTAGTGCTCCAGAATACGCAGATTACCAGAGACAATCTTATTTTCCAAAATCGATCCAGGCGGAATATCGATTCGATCACCGTGATTGGCAATGATGATCACGGTCCCCTGTAACCGAATAGAAATCATTTTTCTGTCTTTTCCACCTCTAGAGACCGGAGAAGCGGTCGCAGCCATGGACATCGCACTTTAGCACTTACCTACATCTCTAGAATGGACCCAAACCAGCCAACCTTTAGTGAAGCACGTAACTGGGCTTCTCTTCATCGTTGTAATGGATCTTACTTATCCACACATCCCTCGCTAGAGGTAGATTACTTATATCCCCTATTTGTTGGATGATATTCAGGACTCAGACATGCCTACATGGGCAACATAACCGATCGTAGGCCTCCTCAGGTAACTCCACAAACCAAGTTTTAGTTGTGTGTTTGACTCAGTCTTAAGTGTGAGGCATAAGCATGCGCTCCATGGAAGCGCAGGGTAATGCCAAATCATGTTGAGTCCATGAACCAGATTCTAGGAAGCCTCGATTCAGTACACGTTCCAGTAGGGGAAAATCCTGAAGTGGATAAATAGTCCTTGCACGAGACAGTTTCAGATAGCGTCTCTACTACATACGTAAACTCTGGATCAAGTCCTGGAATGGAACTTGCTGATTAATCCCAGCGCCGGGTCCCTCTGGAATTGGTTGACTGGCATCCAACCCATTTAGAACTGTTAAAAGCACCGGGTTGCACTTGATTCGCAGGCGTCTATCACCGCACCACCTGAGTATCCCTTCGAACGGCACAACATTCAGAGTAGAACTCGAGTGCCTGGGATATCCCAGACAGCTTCCGTCGGCAAATAGTGCCTGAACCTTGACTGGCATCGCTCAAGGGTTCCGTGAAGGAACGACAGACAGTAAGCTGATTCCCAATTTGAACGGAAGTTCTATCTCTGTTCTTCAGCCACTAGAAAAGGAAACTAGATGATGGATGGAAGTCTCCCAAAGCACCCGTAACCTACTGTCTGGTCTGTCTGTCTTGTGTATCACAAATAAATAAACAAAAACGGTAAACAAATACAAACCTTCAATGATACGTCTCGTCCAAACCAAACATCTCCCGAAACGGTCAGATGGTCGAGTTCAAGCAAATCAGGGATTCCTTGAAAACGTTTCAAGAAGTCTGACACCTGTAAAAGTAAGGCAGAGGTATAACTTCATCTATTCGGACAACATGGGGAGATTGAACCGAAGATCAAGTTTTTTGGGAATACGAGCTGTACGAATAAACGACTGTTTAGACTGACTAGGAGAGGTAGTGTTAGATAGTTGTAATCTCTCAGGTAAGTGGGACCTGATCTTGATTCGAAATTATTCTGATACTAAGAAATTACGACAAATGACCATACCTTGTCAAAACTCGAGCCCAACTTCACTAATGGTGTTGTTGGGAATGATCTGTGTTCAGAAAGTGTCAAACTTCCATGATCTATATCGTAGAGATTCGACATGAGCAATAACAAATCCGAGCATTTCTTCACTGGTAGGAAACGCGATCGTGGTACGTTGATACCTAAAAAATGGGGTGTGTTTGACAGCGACTTCAAAAAACATCAAAGTCTAAACACAAGACTCCAAATAAGATGATAAATTATTAAATAAACAGTTCACGACCAAGATGGTTCCTGAGATGGTGATAAGGGTCCCAATTAGGCTCAGGCGAAGTACACACCCAAAGACGGACGAGTTTTCACGGTCCTGTAGGGCAGTAGAAGTTGGGCCGTTCACACCGGGACGCCTACGTTGCACGCAGGCAGCTTACTGCAGACAGTTGTACGCGATAGCGCACACATTTAGACAGCTCGTTCAAACACTACTTTCATGCAATGTATGTCGTCATCTACTCGCTCAGCCCCTAATTAGACTAGTTTTTCAAAGCCCAAAGTTTCTCTTAACTAACAACTTTCGCGTTTTCTTCGTCAATTTTGCACTACCCTGGACTATCACTTCCTTTCAACCGACTGCGATAAGACAAAAATTTTGGCTGACAAAAGAAGAAAATCGAGTGTGGGATTTGTTAGCCGAGCTTCCCGTGTGAGTCCAATCGTTGGTAACTGTCCCTAGCCATTGACACCACCAAGCTGACACCACCAAGCCGAGCTAGGTAAGTATTTTGATGCGTGGTTAGCTTTAATGACTTTATTAGTGGAGGAAAGGTAAAGATGATTCAACCAATCGCCGTTCAGGGCTACTGATGTGAAAATATGTAGTTGATCACACGGGTTGCAAAAGACCTTTCTTCAACTTTGAGCTGATCGAGTCAAAAACAGACGTGTAGTAATCAAAACAAAAAAAGCCAATCAAACAAACAAAAATGTCCATCTAAACCTACAAAGGAGAGGACACTAACCGCATGCACCACGGAAGTTTTTCACAGCGGCACCGGCTGCGGTTTCCAATTGAATGATATCTAGACCGCGTTCGAGATGTTTGGGATTAACGATCACTTCCATTTCCAGTTCATTATTTTCCACGACTCGTTTGATGGCCGATAATTTTGCCCATAAGTTGTTCGTGTTGAAGATTCTGAAGTAACTCTTTTTGGAATAGAACGCCTGTAGAATGCTTCATGGGTAAAAGAAGGATTCGCCGGAGTGCGTGTGCGGCACATGGACCGCGATCGCAGCCGCCGAACAGCCGCACCGCGTCTTTTGTGACGTCATAGCCCGCATCGCGTACGCACGCCGGAAGTTTCATTATTAAGACAATGTATAAAACAAAGTGAAGTAATGCAAGCTGATAAACGATAATAGCAAGAAATAACTGACCGGAATTTACTGATGGATTTGAACTCGTCCACGTAATCCTTTGGAACTTGGGCGATCTCAAGTAACATGAGTCGATTCTCATACTGGATCAGGGTACCTCCTTTCACGTCTGCTCGTGTCTTGTTAGTTACCTAGAAGAGGTTCTTTGGATAGGACGAAACATTGGAGTAGGTGTACAGGTACATCCAAATCGAGCGAAGTTCTGATCATGGTTGGTAGGGCTTGCTCTACAACCACTTGTAAAGAATTTACGGACTCGTATCTCAAGTCTACCATAACCCAGAAGGCAGGAAGTGTGGGTGGAAAAGTCCATGGAAGAAGAAATGGGAGGGCACAGGCAGAATTAGAAGAAAAGGCTGATCAGAAAAGGTCCATGGGGATTGCAATACCCAGGAACAATGCCAGGCCTCTGCACATGGGCCTATACCTTTGATAACAACTTTGCCAGTCGATTTAGATCATCAATAGGTAAAAAAAATAAAATAAAAAAATTGACGGTATCATTTGCTCGGGAAAGAAAGATAACGTACCTCCATGAGGAACTCCGGATGCTCATGACCGGCAGGAGGAGATAGAAGGAAGTTCAGGATGGCAAAATCAACTGTTGCACCCATGTTGTCAATATTGGACAGGAAGCAGTACTGAAATCATCAACATGTAGACAGAAATATTCCCGAAATACGACTAAATACTACCTCTTTCCCGTCCGCGATGAACTCGTCGATAAGTCCGGAATTGTAGAATGCTTCATAGAAGTTACCGTGTCCAGGTGGGTACCAGCTGAAACAAAACAACAAGAATTAAAAGGCTCAGACATTGCAGTCAGTCGAATAACTTTCAGCCCCTCGTAATTGTTTTCTAAGAAAAATAAAGAAGTTTATACAGTGTCGCAATCGAATGTCGCTATTTTACTCCCGTATTGAAACGTCCGTTTGGAGGCGGGATTTTCAACTAACCACTGAATCCTCACTAGGGCATCTTTCCACCCACAAATATCACATGTCGGGTCAGTTGGTAGATATACCATGTTTCCATTAGGCTGTGGGTATTTGTCTTACATGTGAAGACAAAGTTCGCCGTTTCCATAGCCAAGAACCCAGCCTCAAACGTATGCCAGAATGGAGGGACGTCAGGATACAACTAACTCGTCCGGAGTAGTAGGAGTAGCCGCGACCGTGAGTTCCTTCACAATTCGTGTCAGGACCGCATACCCTCTACTTGCAGTAGCCGACCTTTAGTGAAATCCGTTTACATTCCTATAGCATGTCTCTACTCATGGAGTAATTCGCATAAATATGAGAAATAGTGGACGACAATAAGGCGCATTGGGCCTTATGATCTTTGGATAATTTACCTCTTGCATGCATAAAATAAACATTACTGTAGGCTTACAGGGTACGTGTAGGTTTTCCACATATTCAACCGATTCTACATACTTCAATTGTATTCAGTGGCCATTTCCCAGAAAAGCAACTGATCCGAAAACTTACCACTCCTGATCGGAGTCATGGAGGGATTTCGCTATTGGCATAAGAGTTTCACGGTTGATACGTGGATATTGCGATTGACAGAAAGTATGAACGGAGACCTGCAACGATTCGGTATTATCTGGGACTACTGTGGCTACAAAATCTGGGAACACCACCAACCTTAACATTTGCGTATTTCTTCAAAACTTTTTTGGTATCTTCTTCGGTATTGAATGAGTTCATCAAAACCAATGGCACATCAACATTGTATTTTTTGTTCAAAGTCTATAACAAATAGTTTGACTGATATTGATTGATCGCTATATCTGACCAGCAACTATTACTAAATAGTAACTTTTCAATTACTTCATACCTGAATTTGTTGCAGCGTTAAATCGAGGAATGTCAGCTCATTCCTAACAGGAATTACTGATTTCGGGCCTTTACAACCCATTGATGTGCCGAGACCTCCATTTAGTTTCACTACGACCAATTTGTTCAGCATGGATGCAATCAATTCTCCATTATTCGGATGTTCCAACTGAAAATGAGAACTGGGCGGGAGCTTGACCGGCTTTACTACTCAAAGTCCACATACATGCTTGTATGTCCTGATGGATCCTTCCGGTAACGGCTCGATTTTGGACCAGTCGACATGCGTTTTAGCTCGAAGGAATCGGGCGAACAGATTACGGAATCCTGAGAGCTCTTTTCGATTTTTCTGTAAAAAAAGGAATTTCCATCCAAACCACGTATGGAACACAGTAATTGGGTGTTATGTACATCAAACCTACATATATAGGGAGAGGATAAATCAAGTGGCACAAAGACTGATGAAGAATGAAAATGTATGGGGTCGTATTAGAGATTTCCAAAAATTGTCTAGTGTGGATAGCGTGGTATGAAAATCCTCACGGAAGAAGTATTTTCAGCCNCCCGGAAAAAGGTATCCTCCCCTCTTTCCCTCTTTCAGCAAATGTAAGGAAATACACGGTACTGATGGAAGCGCTAAGCCATAAGGTCACGATTCTTCGCTGTCGTACTACTAGAAATTCCCTTTTGATCAGTGGGAGTCGTGCTCACTATTCTATGGATTCCAAACGAAAATTTTAAAAAGTTGCTTACTACCTACATCTAGATCTTCGGGAGATGAAGTGTTGAGGAGCTTCGCCAACTCTTGCTCCAAAGCTCCCAACGTCTCCATTTTTGTTGACGTTTTCCATTCTTCAGAGCTCTGAAATAGCGTTTTCTGGACCATTAGCAAGAAGATGAGATGCGGAAAGAAAACCTTTTAAAACATTAGCCTTGACAGATTGAAACATCTGTTGAATTTTGAAGTGAGGTTAAATATATGAGTAAACCCATATTTTCTGCTTCGTTCTCTGGGCTCAAGCTAATAGTCATTCTGGGTGAAGGCTTCTTGATTAGCAAGAGCTTCAGGAAATACCAGCAGGTAACGACAACGAGTAGGCCCGACGATATCTGACGGCACTCCTTGAGAACAAGGGTTCGAAAGACACCTGATACTAGAAGTTTCTATTAACAAAGATGCTTCAGGAAGCCTCGGGAAAGTACACGATATTCTTGTATCGAATTGTCACAATTATGCTACGGTCGCGGCTTTTTGCTCTGTTCGCTTTGGGTTTTTTCTGAGTTTGTTCTACATGCATTTCCACGGGTTCTGTTTAATGAACGATTACAACGTAATTTAACTGAACTATTACTATTCTGCTCAGAGGTATTGTAATTGACAATAAAACAAAATGCAAGGGTTGATAATCGCATGCAACCTTATGGCAATTGAACGCACAGCTCACGATAAAGATGGTGACTTAGATTTCTCTCTAGGATGAGTTTCTGACTCCCAAAGATAGCACAAGGGTTGCTATTTAGTTGAAAAGCGACCCATAGAGTGTATAATAAGGGCTAGCTCTGTCTGGGCATGATTCTACCCACATACTTCGAGGCAGGTATGTGAGGAAAAGCTGACTTGAATCGACTAAAAACAGCAAAAATATCTGATGATCCCAGTTGACATCTATCATATCATCTCGCATACGAATTCGGCAGAAGCAGCAGTGCTTCCATTCCGGACCAACCTGGCCGCTGATTGTCACCTACCTTTACATTTTTATCACAGTCGACTGATGATTGCCTAGCCAATGGATGCGGTACCATACTAAATCTTCAAACAGAACGTTTTATGGAGTTTGCCAACGATCAGGCGAAATTGGACGAGATCAGGCAAACGCGAATTCAACAAGATGTGAACTGATCGAAGGAATAGCATACAGGTCCAATAGAAAATAAATATTCATATTAAAAACCCGGCGAAAAAAGGAATGAACCAACAGCTATATGGATGAATAACGGCATTCATGGGACTGGGGAGAACCAATTCATTACAGTTGGACAACAATCGTCAATGCTACTCTTTTTAAAGCTTTCCATTGAGTCGTTTGGAAAGCTTTTGCAGAAAATTTCGTAACAGTCCACAAAATTTTTTGAAAGATCTGGAATTTTCGTTGAAACTGCTATATAAGCACGTAACCCATTTGTATGCGCATAACATGTCCAGTGTTCCCTTAGTTGCATAGTTGACTCTAGGCCCAAATGTTGCCCCATATTCGACAACATACTTCTTTACGAAACAAGAATTCGTCCGGCCATTTCGCTGCCAAAGCTCATAGGAGCTCGTGTCAGGTATTTGGCCTTAAGGTCCCTTCTAAAGGGTTCTGTGCACGCCTCGTATCTACACTTTGAAGCCCAAAATAAGATGATCAAAGACGAGACTCAATCTGGTCGACCGACTACAATATCATGAAATCTTTAGATATTTTATGCGCATACAAGTGGTTGCTATCCTTTTACAGTATTTCCGCAGAAACTTCTGGAACACTCCAGAAAAACACCTGGACCTTTATGAATTTCCGATAGATTCCTTCTGAACATTAATAGTCTCCATTACTGTTCTCGCCTGAACCCGACAATGTCCATTGTGCCCGGGAAAGCTCCACCTGTCCTCTTCTATTTCGGCAATATCTTCGTGAGAACAGTAAACGAAAGAAAAAATTGACGTGAATGCATTTTTTGAATGTCCCAGAAGTAGATAAACAAATATGTAACAATAAACAATAACAATAAAGATAAAATAAACAATTAAGCACGTTGTAAAAATATTGATCTATGGGTAAAACGTCTGTGTCCAGGGAGCCTTTAGACCTGAGTTTAAACTTCCTGAAAAGCTGGATTATCCATTACAATCCCAGTTCATACATGCAGAGTGAGACCTAGGCAGACATTCTCGGAGGGTGGCCATCTTTGTTTCCCGCTAGTTGTGGGAAAACAAAAATGCTAGAAAAACATGCAAGATGGGGAAGGGATCGTGTGGGGCCGTGTGGAGAACACTTTTGAGGGGTGGGGTCGTACTGAGGCTTAGTTTGTATAGGAAAGAGGTTTTAACGTCGTAACGTTGACCGAACCCCGTTGACGCCATCTTTTACTTCGTTCACACTTCTCGATAACCAAGTTATCGGGTAATCCCCTGATCAGAGTTACGGCTCAATTCAATTCACCCCATGGCCCCATGTATTGAGCCCAACTTCAGGTCAGAAGGTATTCGGTAGAGTAAATAGCTCATCAACGATCCTAGCTCCGGAGTTAGGGAAAACATGCCACCTGTAAATGAAGATAGGGTGGTGCAGTGGAAAAGTTTGATGTCCTAAAAGAATAGGGGCGGGTTCGATACTCATCGAAAATGGGAACGTATTGTTCATATGTATGCACTTTACGACAACATCCTTGTAGTGTCGAAAAGCAATTGCTAATAGAATAAAACTAATCAAAAACTACAGAGAATGGGTCTATATGGAAATAGGTAACCCGTGAAAGATACATATTCCTTCGTGGCTTGGCCGGGGTCATCCAGATGGCGTATCTTGAAAATCGTCCCAGAGCTCAGATCAGAGAAGCATCAGAGAACAAGCACTTGGGAACGAGACCAACGTGAAAATGCAGCAAAAGCTTCCGGGCCGCCAAAAAGCTCGAAATCGTACCCGTAAGATATATGACCCACGGGAATAGTCGAACAACGGGTATAGAAAAGCGGATAATGGCGGTGTGAGAGATGGACGGATTCCCTTTCTCTCAATCGCTCCCGTCTGACCACGAGGGCAGCAGCCGTATCGGGAAAATCGACCTTGTCATACTGTGTGATCTTTAGTCACTTTATGAGCAGGGCAGGGTCGAAGGCATTCGGGTTATCTACGGGAACTTGCCAAATCGAAACAAAACTTAGCAGGTGCTCGTAACGTGGCAGCGTTGGTGACGGTCATGTGGACGACGGAACATCAGCAATGTTAATTAAATTTTCAGCGAAATATATTCGATATTGATCATTTTTAATCAGTCCTACGGGACATAGGAGGGCCAAAATGGGAAAATCACAATGACTAACCTCTTGCAAAGTGAGCAGACGAGCTCGTTGACGCATAGCAATTTGCTTTTCGAATCCCATTTTTAGAAAGTAGAATAGGGTTGAACAGAATTACTGCGACCACAGACAGGCTATAGAGCAATAAGGGCCAAATGATAAGCACACCTAGCANCAAGTTGCCAGTCGGGCGATTACAGAGTCGAGGGGTTGGGACATGGGCGACAACAGCACACCCCATGGCTGATCTATGATTACTGTCTCGTCATAGTGTCAACATTAAATGATACCATGGCCCACACTGAATCAGGTTCCTCGGTGATTAAAATAGCCTCACGATGAGACAAAAATAGAGTGCTATCAGTAACTTTTTCGTTATTCGGGAGCTCCAAGCCATTCAAAAAGTCTAGTGATATTTAATTATCATTTAGGATCAACTTATAGGTATTCCTACGCGCTCAATAACAACATAATTCAGTGGAGGAAATCTCTGTGAGAAAAATCGCTCAAAAAGCTAGTGGATTCTTAAAAAGTTATGCCTAGGGATGAGCTGTTGCAAATTCCAGGAATACGAAAATGTTTCATGTTTCAGGACGCGCCATGCGCTCGGCTTTGCATTAGGACCTCAGAGATACATAGCTGCTGTTTTTGAACTTGAAGAAACTAATAGGAAGGAGAAGATGCTGTTCAAGACAGAAACCCAGCCCTTCGAATAAGCATTATAGGGGAGGGGGGGGGGGCACAGTTATTAAAAAAGATCCAAAAGCTCAGTGATATGGAATGCTCAAAAGCGAAGCAATCTATGCAAGTGCTCTAATTCATGAGTACGAACTTGTGGTTGCTACCTTGGGCGCCAGTGAATGACTGCAATGGTTCTAACTAGCCCAAGAGAAGGAAGTAGGTTTTATACAGATCACAAGATACTGTGACCAAGATACCGTAATTTAAATGGAAATTAAATAGAATTAAATTTAAATTCACAAAGCTTAATCATTTGAGTAACGCAGAAATTTTGGAGAGAAGGACAATTCGAAGGTACATGGCTTTCAACGACTCAAACACCACGGTAATAGTAAAAAGGAGACGTGAAATTCTACGGAATCCCACGTTCATGCGGCCAGTGTAAATGAAAGATGGGAGAAAGGAAGCCGCCATAGAAATGATCCGATTTTCAAGGGCGGACAAAGAGATAAGGCGAAAAGAGTGGCGACATGTGATCTGCGATTTTTTCGCGGTCATACTCTCGACACCCACAGAAGTGACCAGCACTTTTATAAATCTGTGCAGAATGCTATTCAGAAAATTTTTTTGAAAAAAAACCAAATGACCTCTTGTGTTTCGATAAAGAACTGGTAGTTGGGTATTGGTGATAACCATATAAGGAAGGGTTAGGAAAAAACGTCAGTTGGAGGGAAGAGAAAACTTTTTTGCGAAGTACCATCCGCAAAAAGCCCATTTCTAATTCACAGAGCCATGGGCAGGATGGTTGGGTCAATGGCAACGATAAACAAACGATTATTCCATTCTTCAAGATATCGAAGCCAGGTATCAATCTAAGGTAAGCTGGGTCTTGGGTGTGCTCACTGCCTTAGGAGATGAGGACTCAAGAAGACTTAGCCAAATTCAGAGCAATCTTGAGACCACGACTAGACTGCGCTAGTAGGGCCAAGTCCATGGAACTGCGAGACTTTGAGGCAACGAATTCCCGTTCGTGAAACTCGGGAAGCTTTTTCGTGTCAGGGAAACATCATTTCAGTAATGTATCCGTGAATGACAACATCTGAAGGAATTCCTTTAATATTAAGATGACTAACATTAGAATCAAC